GGGGACAGTTCTAATCAGCTTTCCAGAGAATATTGTTAAATGTTCAGTGTGAGCATTCATTACATTTGGGGAATTGGTAAATGGTACGAATCGTGGCTCATGCTATCATTTTGTTAATTTCTAGACTTAAGAATTTGATTCAGAAAATGTTAATAATCTAGATTAAAACTGAATGTGTGTCATACATACTTTTTCCCCCGAAAGCTGGTTGTTAAACATTTACCCGCACACCCTTGATTATGATTGACGTTGGGATCTCCCACAAAGTGATTTCCCAAGTAGGTCAATCAAAGAACAGCTATTCTTTCTATGCAAAAGAAATGCTTAAAACTCAAAAAGCCTCAAGGATGCATATAGACAACTTAGAACAAAGAACAGTAATCCAAATATGGATAGTTGAAGATCATATAGATAACAACAAGCAGAATTAGGTTTCCAATCCTGGGCTTTTGAATTCAATTCTAGTAAGGTTTTCACTATACCATGCTGCTTCATTTGGTGTCAGTTTCCTATCCTATTTTTAAAATATGCACTCTCTCAATTCTCAATGGCAGTATAACGGGCAATGACGCTAGACTCAGTGTTGTCAAATCCAGTTGTTTCTACCTTTGCATCTTCTCTCTTATACATCCTCTTGTCTCTGATACTGCTGTCACCCTGGTGTAGGCTTTTCTTTCTTGGCACCTAGACTATTGCAATGGCTTGCTAGTTCGCCTCTGTCCCAAACGTCTCCCTACTCCGGGCCATCCTCCTTTCAGCTGCCAAGGGATCTTCCTAAAGCATTTGTCTGACCATGTCACTCCCCCTCTTGATAAACACCAATGTCTCCCTGTTACCTTCAGGATCAAGTATAAAATTCTCCTGGTTTTTTAATTCCTTTTCCAACTTCGCTTCCATCTTTCTGTCTTCTTACAATTCATTCCCCTCCATACTATGATACAACCACACTGGCTTTCTTGCTATTACCACACATGATACTTTTCCTCCTGGTTGGAATGTTCTCCCTACCCACCTCCACGTACTTGCTTCCCCTGCTTACTTTAAAGACTCTACTCATGTCCCACTTTCTGGAATAAGTCTTTTCTATCCCTTTTACTGCTAGTCACTGCTAGTGTATTTCCTGTGATATTCTTATGTATTCTGTATGGCCATGGTTTTTATATTGTCTCTTCCCCATTAGAATGTGAGCTCCTTCGGAGCAGGGACTATTTCTGCTTTTCTTTGTATCCCCAGTGTTTAGTATATTGCATCACACATATGTGCTTAATAAATCCATGTTGGCTCACTGACTCTGTACCCATACCCCCTCAATCACCACAACCAATTTCCAATTTCTTCAGGCTTGCTCTGGTGATAACCACCTAGGGGTTCTACCAGATTTAAACAAGTAAACCCATCCTTCCTAATGTGCTCTCCAGATTCATTTATGCTTTATTTTATTAGTGAGAACTGTTAACCCAGTAAGTTTTTCATTTTAGGTCTTAGGAAAATCAGAAGTAAAGTTAATGTTCAACTGTAGTAGTTGGTCCAAATACCATTTATTTTTCTGCCATTTTGAATTGCTTTTGATTCTGCTTTTAATCACTCCATTTTAAATTTGAAATAACTTAAGCTGCCTATTTTTGTGTGTGTGTGTAAGTGAGATGACAATAGTTGACATTTACATAGAACTTTAAGGTTTGCAAAGCATTTTACTTACAATATCTAAATTGAACCTCTCAGCAACTCTGGGAGGCAGCTGCTATTATCATCTCCATTTCACAGGCAAGGAAACTGGAGATTGGAGACGTTTAATGACCAGGGTCAGGGAGCAGATGTGTCACAGGTGGAATTCTAACCTTGGTCTACCTGATTTCTAGTATGGCATTCTATTCTCTATTACATACTGCTGTTATGGATATGTGGATGCGTAAAGAATATGTAAGCTAGCTAACGTGTGACCTCTTCAAGGTAAAGTCACACCCTAACCATGAAAGTGCCAAAACTATAGAAAGTAACTGGTGATGGGGACCTTAGAACAAAGAATTTAGAATGTGAGCACTGAAATGACCTTAAAATATAAACTGCTAGACTGTAAGACAGCAGGGGCTAAATGGAAGGGACCTTAGAGATCATGAATTCAAAGTTATCAAACCACTGAGCAAAAATCCCAAGTACAGGAACCAGATTAAATTGTAATTGAAAAATGTTTTAAAAAATAAAGATACAATACTACATGATGTTAATTTGTGGATTTCTAAGTCAATATATGGCCCACAGAGATCTGTTTCTATTTGAGTTTGACATCACTACGGTCCAACACCTCCATTTTAACAAGAAATTAAATGAGGCCCAGGGGCAGCTAGGTGGTACAGTGCATATAGCACTGGGCTTGGAATCAGGAAGACTCATCTTCATGAGTTCAAATCTAGTCTCAGACACTTATTAGCTATATGACCCTAAACAAGTCACTTAACTCTGTTTGCCTCAGTTTCCTCATATGTAAAATGAGCTGGAGGAGGAAATGGAAAACCACTCTAGTATCTCTGCCAGGAAAACCCCAAATGGGTCCCGGAGGATCAGATATGACTGAAAAATGATTTGGCAACAACAACAACTGAGTCTCAAAGAGGGGAAAGGATTTTCTCAGGTATCAGCCAACTTCTAGTCTGGGTTCTCTTTTTGCTTCATCAGAGCTCTTGTCAAAATGAAAAGCATATCTACTTAGAAGACCTTGTCGCTTTTCCTGACAGCAGACAAGATGGCGGAAGTGGAGCAGAAGAAGAAGCGAACCTTCCGGAAGTTCTCCTACCGTGGCGTGGACCTGGATCAGCTGCTGGACGGGTCCTGTGAGCAGCTCGTGCAGGTGTGCGGTGCTCGACAGCCGCGGTGACTCAGCAGGGATCTTTGGCGCAACCAGCCTTCCCTCCTGAAGCGCCTGAGGAAGGCCAAGAAGGAGGCGTCCCCATGGAAAAACCCGAGGCTGTAAAGACACACCTTCGAGGCACGATCATCCTGCCAGAGATGGTGGGAAGTATGGTGGGCGTCTATAACGGCAAGACCTTCAGGCAGGTAGAAATTAAGCCCGAGATGATTGGACACTACCTGGGCGAATTCTCTATGACCTACCAGCCTGTGAAACACGGCTGGCCGGGTATTGGAGCCACCCACTCCTCTCGTTTCATCCCTCTCAAGTAACCTGGATCCTAACAATAAAAATAAGAAGCTTCTTAGTGGGGAAAAAAAAAAGGCCTTGTCACGTGAGCTGTGAAAATCCTCTCGTTGTCATTATCAATACTAATGAGATCAGTCATCACTACCAGAGTTCCGACCCTGACACAATCCACCCGCACCTTCTCTTCCTGTTTGACTCTTTTCCCATGTCCTCCCACAGAGTCACCAGGACTCCACCCAACATGCCAGGACCGACCGTAACATCAGGGGCTCTTACACTTTTTTTGCAATCTGGTAAAACCTGTGGACTCTCTTAAAAAATATTTTTTCAAAGCAGAAAATAAAATACATAGAATAACAAAGGAAGCTAATTATATTGAAATGCAATTATCTTTTTTTTTAAGTATTTTAAAGTTCACAACCCTCTGTTTAAGAATCCCTGCCTTTGAGGTCTTGTTACTACATGGATTTCAATGGGGGAAATGAGGTCTCCATTATTTATTCCATTAGTTTGCTCTTGTATATGACCAGCACAACACCTTCTCTAGTCATACAGCTCTTTGGTGACATCTTTTCCAATGTTAAATTTTTCAATGACAATGTTCTGTAACTTACTCCCACACACCATGCCTTCAGACAACCTTCAACTTCAGCTTTTCAGAGACTATGATATTCTATGACTTGCAGTCAGACAGCATCACTGGAAGAATATTTATATTAAAAACACAGGAGTTTTCTTTTTTTTCCCCAAAGAAAATCCTAACATCACTAAAAACATTACATAATTTCCCAGAGAAAATGGAACTTATTCTCTTCCTGCTTCTCAATTCTGGGCCTAGTTCATTGTCGATTTGAAGTTTTCATCCAAGATTATAATGTCACAGATTTTAGAACTAGAAGAAACCATAAAGACCATCTAGTTCAACTACCTTATTTTACACATGAGGAAACTGAGGCGACCTCCATTCATGTGACTTTCCCAGGGTCACAGAATCAGTCTCCAGCTGAAATAGGATTTGAACTCAAGGCTTCATGTTTCCAACTTCACTATGCAACCCAGATGTTTAAATTAGCATGTGTAGACTGATAAATCAGTTCTATCATACTCTGTATCAATCTGGATAACAGACATTTTTCATCAACTTGGTTTTTGTTTTTGCTTTTTTTTCTATGTGGATAGTTCAGGCAAATTCCTCTAAGTGATTGTGAATATCATTTGAAAGGGTCCACATTGTTCTGAGGCTTAATGCAAATGATACGATATTATGTGCAAAAAAGAAACATCTGGGAGACTTAATCATCTATAATGAATCTTTCTTTTATTTGGACTCTGTGACATACAATCTCTGTGAAAGTGGAAAACATTTTGGCAAGTATATATCCCCCATTTTAATGCCTCGCTCAATATTAATAATCAAAGAACTGTCTCTTGAATTTATCCTTGTAGTTAGGTCTTTGAAAAAATATTGTGTAATTTGTAAATATACTCCAGTTGAAGGAGAGATCTTAATGATGCATTTTGCCCAACCAAATCAGTATATTTTTAGTAGTCAACAAACAATGTTTAATGGAACCTGGTATTCTTTACCCTTGCTGTCAGTTTCATGACTAAAGATCCACTGTGCTCTGTTCTGCACTGTCATTTACAGAAAGTTTAGCTTTTTCATTCAGATCTTCATCTAGAATGCCTAGGTAGACTATTCTTGTGAAGATTTTGAAGCTGAGTGAATAGACATACATGGATTATTGGCATTTTCAAAATCGTCTTTATAAAAAAAAAAGTCTGGTTTTTTTTGCTAAGTGTTTGGTATTGTTTACTTTTTCATATGGAGAACTGAAACTTCAATATATTCAGAGTTGTGTTACCTCCAGCATAGATCCACACACAAGTGAGTATGTATGTATATGTGCCTATATTGTGATATATTCCATGTGTTACACATGTGTGTACACATATGCATATAATATATAATGTTAGTATATAATTATACTGGACATAACACAAGTCAGAGGGCACTGAAGGATCAATTCTCAAGATATAGCTATACAGCTGTATCTATCTATAGCTTTATATATATTCACACATACATTTATTCATACACACATGAATATGTATGCATACATACCTGCACATATGCATATATGTAAACATACAGGTGAATTAAGAAACTCTCGTTTCCTGATTCTAAACCTCTTTTTTTTTGGACACACTCTTTCCTATCTTCTATGCCTACCTTTGCCCTGAACTAACCTAGTGTTAGGCAATAATTTGATTTAATCTAGAAGGTCTAGAGTATCTCTCAATTATCATCCTCTATAGCAATTTTTGGTGCACAAACTGCAGTGGCAGACCTTTTTTCCCAAAAGAATCTTATCAGATCCACTATTTTTCAAGATGAACAAGTGTTCTGTAACAAAGATGTTTCTTGCTCCCTTTAGATATGTAGTAAAAACAATTCTACCAACCACTTGTTGCCACTCCAAGGCTAACCTGGAAGTATCCACCCTTCCATTTACCAGCATCTTCCTTGTCTATCTGGGTTTCCTGTATAATGAAGGAGAAAGGGGAGGAAATAAGCATTTATGTAACACTAACTATGAACCAGGTACAGTGCTAAATATTTTATAAAAATTATCTCATTTGATCCTCACAACAACTCTGTGAGGTAGTTGCTAATTTTATTTCCGTTTTACAGTTGAAGAAACTGAGGCAAATAATGGCTAAGTGACTTGCCCATGGTTACACAGATAGTAAGTACCTGAAGCCAGATTTGAATTCAGGTTTTCCTGATTCCAGGCCCAGCACTCTATCCACTGTACCACCTGGTTGACTCTATAGCATGTATTACACAGGTTATAATTTCCACCCTTTGGTCCTAGCTTTACCTTTGGGAGCCATGCAAAATAAGTCAAGTCTCTTCTCTACAAAATGTATCTTACAGTTATAATTGGCAGGTCGATGTTCCCTCTAATGTCTTTTTAAGTCAGGTTAAATGGCCTTAATTCCTTCACTTGTGCCACAGATGGGAAGGCTTTGTTTTCCTATGTGCGTCTTCCAGGTGTTTTTTCTTTCAAGTTCCTTCCTATAATGTGATGACAAGAATTGAACGCAGGGGCAGCTAGATGGTGCAGTGGATAGAGCACCAGCCCTGAAGTCAGGAGGACCTGAGTTCAAATGCGACCTCAGACCAAACACTTGACATGTACTAGCTGTGTGACCCTGGGCAAGTCACTTAACCCCAAATGCCTCAAAAGTAAAAACAAAAAACAAAAAAAAAAGAATTGAATACAGAAGCAATTTGATTAAGGCAGGATACAGTGGGACCACTACCTATCTGCCTTGTATTAGAAGAACCTTTCACTTGCAGTCAGAAAATCAGGCTTCCAGTGTTATCTTTCATGTTTACTCATCTGTTTAAACAAGATCAAGTAATTTCACAACTCTGATTTTTAGGTAACATATATGTAATCTCACCCACAGGTAAATTGCCATGGAAAACTAGTGAGCCAAGAAGAGGTTCCCATTTGAGGGATCCTGCCTTTACCCAAAGATCCCCAAGCTTCTGATGGTTTTTAAACCAGGAAGAATTTCCAGGAAGTCACATGTCTGAGAAGCAGATAAGAAAAGTGGAAAGAAGGAAGAGAAGGAAGTCTGGTATCTGCCTCTACACCAGAAAACAGGCAAAGCAAATAGACCTTAGGTCTTCTGGGATGGCAGAACATTTATGAAGCTCCATGGGAAGTCCTAGACTGGAGGGCTAATGAAGAACCAGCAGTTCCAATGGTTAGTGAGATTATAAGAATCTGGGCCATAGCATGTTCTTGAGGTCCTTCCCAAATCCTATCACCTTTGTCTGGATGTGCTTCTGAATGTGTCAATGTCCTTCCTAGAGAACTGATCAAGAAAGAAGACAGTGGGACTATTTCTTTGTTCATTCTGTATGCCATTAGACTATGAGTTCGTTGAGGGTAGGGATTATTTTATGCCTCTTTTTGTTCTCTAGTGCTTTGTACAATACTTGGCACATAGTAGGAGCTTAAAAATGCTAGTGGCTAACTATTTTCTTATGGTAACATAAGATTGCATTAAACTTTTTCTTTGCTATCTCACACTGTTGCCTCATATTGATATGGCAGTATGATAAAGCCTTCCATACCTTTTTTTCACTTTTTTTACATGAACTGCTATCTAGTCATGGCTCTCTTATCTTGAATTTGAAAAACTGATTTTCTGAACTCAAGTGAAGGTCTTTGAATTCATCTCTATTCCAGTTCATCTTATTTGATGTTCAAGTTTGTAGATTTGTAGATTATTTTTTACTTTTAATTCTGTCATCCAATATATGAGCTATCTATACCAGCTTTGTGCTCTCTATAAGTCTAATGAATATATCATCTGGCCCTACTACCAAGTCAGTGATAAAAGTCTTAAACAGAATAGCACTAGGGACAAATCATTGGGACTATCCATTATTGGCCTCCCACTACATCAACATTATCCCTTTAATGACTATTCTTTGGATCTATTCATTCGAGTAGTTAGTTAAATTCAGCTGCTATACAATTAGTATTTAATGCTTTTAATTAATGGTTTTTGTATTTGTATCCACAGAACTTAGCACAGTAGTTGGCAAATAATTAGCACTTCACAAACACTTTTTCATTCATTCATCCTTTGAAAAATAGTGATAGGACAAATTCAGAGTAATATCTAAGATGGCAAAAGGACTAGAGATCACCCTATATGAAGATCAGTTGTAAGAAAAGTGAACCTTTAGCCTGGAGGAGAGAACACTTTGGGAGGTATATATGATCATTACCTTCACCTAACTGGAGTGGTATCTTGTAGAGTATAACAGGAATTAGATGTGTTTCTTGGTACCAATGGACCTAACTAGGAGAAATGGATAGAATGTAAAGAGGAGGAGATTCAGGTTTGATGTGAGAAAATTTATCTAACAGAGAGTTGGGAAGGTTGGATGGGTATTTGTTGGACCTATTGTAATAATGATTCATATTCAGAAATTCTTTGGACTATAATGACTTTGAAACCCCTTCCAAGTCTGAAATTATGTGATTCCATGAATTGCCACCAAATATGAGAGTGACCCTGTACTCCCGGGTTCTTACGGTCTTCTTATGGTCCCCTTATGGACCAAGGCATGGTCGTTATAGTCCTATTACTTGATTAGCATGAGTCAACCAACATAGTCACTGGGTACCTGTAGGTTAATGGTAATAGATGCATCAGTACATTAACTCGAATTTTGTCTTCAGTAAGGTAACATTTGGGTGAAATGGATCATTTATAATTGCCAGTGTTTAAAATGAAATTCTGCATTCTAACTTCAGGGTTCTTGAAAGCAAAGCAACACTTGTTCTTGCCAGTGGGAAAATGGCACCAGTAAATCCACACTGGAGAAATTCCCTATTTCCCAAAGATTTATGGACTTAACAACTGAGGTAAGGCACTGGCAACTTGGCTCTCTCCCAAAATTTCCACCCATAGATAAAGTAGGTACATGAGGGGAGCCTCCCACTGGGGAAAGTCATATGGGTAAGGAATTTCAGGCTTGCTCTAGCTCTAATTAAATTGCCTTAATCCGTTTAATGCTTTCGGCAGTGCATAGAAGTCATCTCACAGGAAGCCTGTAAGCCTGCTATTTAAGTGGCATGGCTCTTTATTATTATTTATTTATTTTTAATTTATTAGCTGGGCCCATTGCAGTAGCCTCTGGGTGTACTTATCTATAAGTTTAATTAAGAAAACAGTCCCTGGCATTATCGCCTGCGATCAAACATAAATGACAAGAACATAAACACAGAAAAGATGCGCTCTCACATAGGCACAAACACACACACACACACACACACACACACACACACACACACACACACACACACGCCAAGAAAATCAATCTAGTCCATAGTCAAAGTAACAAAAATTACAGTGTTATGAAAGGAAATATGCTTGAGTGGAGGCAGATTTAACCTGGGAGGTAGAAGACATGACTTTGAGTCCCAGTTCAGCCCATTAGAGTGTCTTGTATGTAATAGGTATTTAATAAATATTCAATTGAATTGAATTAGATTAATACCATGGGTGACCTTGCAGCCTGGCTCAGTTTAAAGTTTGCTGGATGTGAAGTCAACAGACTTGAGATTGATTAATAATACCTATGTGACCTTGGGCAAATCACATGAGTCTGAGCAATAGTTTCCTTATCTGTAAAATGAAAGTAATAATAGTACCTATATAACGGGTTTCTTGTAAAGATAAATTTAGATAATGCATAAAAACATTTGGCAAACCTTTAAGCACCATGCAAATATTAACTATTATGTTGTTGTTTCTTCATCTCTAAAATAAGGGCATTAAATTATGTGAACTTTAAGATCCTTTCTATCTCGTCTGTGATACTCTGAACTTTGATTCTCTGCATCTCAGTTTTCTCATCTTTAGCATGAGGGAGGGGGTAATGCTATTTGTTCTATCTAACTCCCAGGGTTTGGGAAGATAAGTACTTTGTAAACTGTAAAGCATTATAGAAATGTGTGATGTTGTTACAGGAAAACCTATGTTGAGAGATAACTACATTTGAGTATTGAATTTGAGAAATTTAGAATTCTGCAGAGAAATTAGGTGGTGATTAATAAAATGAAGAGAGATTCTTCATTGTTTAGCAGGTCTTCATTTTCAAAAAAGTAAAACTAGAAGGAAAAATGCCAAATGAGGGCATATGAGATTGTCGACTATACATGTTAGTTTCCTTAAATAAGGAAGGGCAGAAACTGTAAAGAGGTAGATTTAGACTTGGTGAAAAGAGAGAAAATAATCTTTCATAAAATTAAACCAGTTCAAAAACGGAATGAGTTACTTTGGGAGGTAGTCAATTGTCACTCATTGGAGGTCATTAAGTAAAGGTTGGATAACCACTTGTTAGGCTGGTGGTAGAAGGGATTCTTACTGTGGTTTCCTTTAGAATAAATGATGTCTGGATTTATGTATTTTTGTGACCTACACCACACTCAAGTTATGGTAAGAATTCTTTTTTTTTTCCTTTCTATTCAATAGGAAGACACCACCTGTCCAAATGTATTTTTTTTTTCATTTGCATTTTTTGGCTTCTCAGAATTTGCCTCTATTTGGATAGAAAAGCTTGACCTAATCAAGGAAAATAAAAATACATGAACTAATTAAATACTAGGCAATTAGTGCTTTTATAATTGATTCTATAGTAGTGCTTAAAACTTGGTCAAAGACTAAGAGAAGTAGTTGTAGTAAAACAAAAAAAGGATCTTTATTTGGAATCAATAAATCTGAGTTCAGATTCTGACTCTTCCACTTATTACCTGCTTAACCTTGTGTGAGTTACTTATTTTCTCTATCTTTTGAATGAATAAGTTGGACCAGATGACCCCTTGGTTTCCTTCCAATGTTAAATCTATCATCCTATGAATTCTTCGTTCAATATGAGGAAACCCAAGAGATCATAGATTTCCTGACCTTCCTGGGCTTCAGTTTTTTTTTCCTGTGTAAAATGGAAACAATAATTATTTTTTCATCTACCTCACAAGATTGTTAAGGGCCATATGTCTTGTAAACCTCCCACTGCTTTGCGAATGTAATTTGTTAATTATTAGGAATCGCACAATGCCACCTCCTCCATGTCATGGATGAAAAAACTGAGGCATGGAGAGAAAGAATTGACTAGCCCAAGATCATATAGCTAGCTAATCTGAGATGCAATTGGGACTAGAACCCAGGTTTTTATAGGCTCATAAAATGTCAGAGATAGAAGAAAACTTGTAAACTAGTCATTTAAAAAAGAGGAAGCAAGGCCCAGAATGAAGAGGTTTCCTTGATATCACAGAGCTAAGTTGTGGCCAACTCAAAACCCAAGTCTTCGGGCTCCCAATCCATTGCTCTTTCTACATCACAACACATGAAGCCTAATAAAAATTGCCAAACTTTTTATAAATTTGCCAGTGTGTCTATACCCTTTCAACAGCTTCAATTGTGCTGTTACATTTTATACAGCTATTGTAAAGCAATCTGAATCTTGTATGCAGTTCAGCAACTTCAGGAATTTAAAGGATGTAGAGATTCTCCCAACTTTAATGAATGGAGGCAAATGAGTGGAAGGAAAGATTTCATATGAAATAAGTGCTTTATGAGCATGCTCAGTGGGTTTTTTGGCCCTCATTCATCAGGCTTTGAGGCCAGCCAAAGTAAATAGACACAATAAATAGAAATTCCCTTATCCAATGAGCTTAGAAAGACATTGGATGGATTTTCATAACTTTTATCGCCATCAACTCCATCAATTTATCCTGGGATTCTGAGCTGGGATGACCTCATCCTTTGCCAAAGGTAGCCCAAAAGGGTGACCAGATCCCTTTTTAAAATTTAACCTACTGATAGAAAGCATCCTTCAGTTCAACCGACACAGGGTTGGAATTTATCAAAAGGAATTTTTCATGGGAAATACACGACATGATCTTTGCTTTTCAAAATTATATAATTTTCTTCGACTCTTCCCTTTCCCTCACAGTCTAAAGACACTCACTGTTCCCTATTCTATATCCAGACTTTTAGTTTGGGGATATGATTTAGTCCTGGTGAATCCTGGCCTTTAACAAGGAAGATTAGGCTCACCATTTTCACATTCATTGCCTTGTTGACACCCAAGCATCTTGGGGACAATACTAAATATGCTAAAATTATTGTTTGCAAGTTGATAGTTTCTATAATTTCACCCCAAAAGGGGAGAGTTTAAGAAAAGAGAAAAAAACTTGATATATAAACATGGATTAGGGACAGGACTGGCAATTTATTCCAACAGAGAGGTGGGGAAAAAAAAGAAATTCAAAGGAAAAAGAATGCCAGCACATATACCAGAATGACTAGGACAGAATTCAATGACTTTGCTTTCAACTACTGTTACTGTTGAGAGTCTAACATTTGGGCTTCACAAGGGCATAAAACAATTTACAAGAAAACTAATTAATCATTTTGCATTTCATCTTGACTAGACACTTGGCAAACTACATCCAACACATTTTCTGGAGAAATGAGCCATGATGCACCAATCATCTTGTTGGTTCCCGTTCTTTGTGATACAGACTTTATGATGTTAGTCACTGCTACTCTGGAAGCACCATAGCCTTCATACTCACAGGCCTCTTCTGACATTTAACCACTTTAGAACTCTCAAAGTCCCTGCCAGTCCTGCTTATGTCCACCATGAAGTAATCGTTTTCCTTAAGATCAGGAGAGAACAAATAACAAATGGAGAGGTGAAGCTGTATTCATGACCACATGGAGGCTTTTTAGGAGGGAGGGCAACATTTTCCCATCTGACTTGTAGGATGAAGGAAACAGACTATATGATTTACTTCCAGAAAGGAGAGATCAGGCAAAGGTTCTCCATTTTGTCCATCTCCTGAGTCATCAGCTCTTCTGGGTCAGAGTAGTGGCTTAGGGAACTCTTTTTTTGTTTCCATCGCAAACTCCTTAGTCACAAATGGCTGGAAGCAGGCCCCCAAATCTCCTACGTGTCTAACTGGAAGCAATATTTTCACATATACTCAACCATGCATGTTTCACTCATGTAATCAGAATGACAACACATTGTAATTTGGTTGCTGAGATAATATTGTGGACTAGGAGTTAGGGAGGTGCAATCATGGCCTTGGAACTTCACCATTTTGTGAGAGTCTCAAATAGTGATGATCATTCTTCACCTGACAGAGTTCTGTTATGATTTAACTAGAAGGAACCTTACAGGTTCAGTACATTTTTATAGATGAAGAAACAGAGAAGTTAAATAACTTGCCCAGGGTCATTCAGCTTCTGTAAAAATGGATGAGGTGAGATTTGAACCCATCTTCCTGACTCGTGCCTTATTTACTACACTAGTCCCCTCATTTTACAGAGCAGAAACTGAAAGGCCAGAAATCCTTTAATAACTTGCCAAAGGTCACCTCGGCAGCAATAGAGCAAGGATCTGAACTCTGTCCCTCAGACTTAGAACACAGCAGTCTTTTCAGTACTACATAGGACCATGTGTGAGGCCCATTTGTTTCAAAGCTACTTGTGGAGAAAAAGGAGTAGAGAGGTTCAATAAGGTTCATATTTTGTTTTTGTTATTTAGTCATTCTCAGTTGTGTCCAATGTTTCAGGACCCCTTTCAGGGTTTCCCAGGCAAAAATACTTGAGTGGTTTGCCATTTCCTCTTCCAGCTCATTTTACAGATGAAGAAACTTAAGTGACTTGACAGAGTCTTACAGCTAGTAAGTGTCTGAAGCCAGATTTGAACTCAGGTCTTTCTGACTCCAAGCCTAACACTCTAGGTTCATATAGGTAGTATTAATGGGAAACTAGAGCAAAACTGTAGGACACATAGAGATCAGACTACAGGAAAATCAGGTAAGGCCCTTTCAAAGCCCGTGTACAGGAT